AGAAGGTTGGGTCCACACTGTGCCCACAGGTCCCTGGCTCCACTGAGCACCCAGTCCTTTGGGTCTCAAGCCCTTCCCTCTCTCCAGCCAGCCAATGTTCTATTGGATGCTGCTTGTCGGGTGAAACTCTGTGACTTTGGCCTGGCACGCTCCCTGAGTGACCTTTCTGAAGGGCCTGAGGGCCAGGCTCTGACGGAGTATGTGGCCACACGCTGGTACAGAGCTCCAGAGGTTCTTCTCTCCTCCCGATGGTAACATCTGGAGACCCAATCTACCTTTCACCCTTCAGGTCCCTTAGGGTACCCTGTATCCTGGTCTTGCCTGGGCCCACCTGAGTACTCAATGCCCTCTCCCTACACTCCCATTCTGTCTCTGCCACTGCCTCTGTGCTCCCTGCCCTTGCACATACCCCTTCCTGCCCCAGGTATACTCCAGGGGTGGACATGTGGAGCCTGGGCTGCATACTGGGAGAGATGCTTCGGGGACAGCCGCTGTTCCCTGGCACATCTACTTTCCACCAGCTGGAGCTGATCCTGGAGACCATTCCATTGCCCTCCATGGAGGGTGAGCATGTACACTCAGGTCCCAACCTTGGTGGCCTGTCACTAGGCATAGGATAATGAGAGTCAGAGGGCACAGCTGGGGAGAGTGTTCTGAGAATCATTTGACCCAGGAAAACTGAAAATGGCCTTGTGGAGGGAGGGCCCAGGAACAGCTGCTGGGGGCTGGTGCTGAGAGGCAGAATTGGTCACAGGATAGTGTAAGCCAACTGATATAGCAGAGAGCAGTGGTTGTGGAGAGGGGCATGGCAAGAGGAAGTACCTTTCAAGGCCCAGCAGGGTGCCATGTCCTCCCTTGGGTAGGATCAAAGGGAGATGTGGCCCCAGCATCCTCTATGTGAGCATGTTGAGTGTGTGTGATTTCCAGGTAAGGCACAGCTATGGGCACTCACCTGGACCAAATGGCTGTTTTTTAGGGGTTTGAGCCTTTTTAGACCACGGACTTTGTGAGAGGCTATTTATTGTCTATGTGACCAAATGGGATGGCTGCCCCTTGCCCTAGCCTACCTGCTCATACCTCTGTCTTCCACCCACCCACAGAGCTCCAGGGCCTTGGCTCAGACTACAGTGCTTTGATTCTGCAGAACCTTGGGTCCAAGTGAGTGGAACCCTTAGGTGTGGGGAAAGGTGGCAAGTCGCAGGAGACTGACGAGAGAGAGAGAGAGAGAGAGAGAGAGAGAGAGAGAGAGAGAGATGAAAAACAAGACATATCCCCCAGAAATGAGAACATCCAGCCTTAGAAAAGGAGAGAGGATCCCACTGAGCAGGGACAAGGGTATGGAGAGGTGACCACCTCGGGAGGGGGGCTTGAATGGGATTAACACAAAGCAGAAAAGTGGAGGTCAGGCCACAGACAAAAGGTGCCCTAGAGAGGTGGGGCCCTAGAGAGGAGACAACAGGCAGCTGCCCGCAGGCCACGGCAGACGCTGGACGCCCTCCTGCCGCCAGACACCCCGCCAGAAGCCCTGGACCTCCTCAAGCGACTCTTGGCGTTTGCTCCGGACAAGCGGCTTAGTGCAGAGCAGGCGCTGCAGCACCCCTACGTGCAGAGGTGAGACTCGAAGAGAACGGACCTCGGAGTAAAGGGCAGGGGTGGCAGCCTTGTGTCCTGCCATGTCAGCATCCACCTTTCTGACTCCGCAGATTCCATTGCCCCGACCGCGAGTGGACACGGGGATCCGATGTGCGCCTCCCGGTGCACGAAGGAGACCAGCTCACTGCACTAGAGTATCGCAACCGCCTGTACCAGGTGCTGGAACTTCGGACTCCCATCGCCTGTTTTCCACGGGCACCCTCGAAGCCTCTTAACGCAACGACCTCAGTGCGGTCCATCCCCTCCCCCTCTGAGCGCCCCTCCCATCCCGCAGATGATCCTGGAGCGGAGGGGGAACACCCGCAGCCCTCGAGAGGAAGGCCTGGGGGGAGCGGCCTCTCGGACAGAGTTCAGGGCTTCCCAGGCCCGGGCTCAATCCCTCAAGCCCGGAGTCCTCCCCCAGGTCTCCACGGAGACGCCTGCGCGGAAACGCGGACCCAGACCTCAGAGTAGCCTTGGTCAAAACCCCGAGCCCGTGGGTGAGTTTTGCCTGCCTCCCACGCACCCAGATCCCATCTCTGTAGGGCCACCAAAGTTCACATCGGGAACTGGGGTTGCTCTTATACTCCACAGAAGTTCCCAGGCAGAACTCAGACCCCCTGTTCCAACTTCCGCCACCAGGCAGGGGGGAAAGGCCCCCAGGGGCCACAGCGGAGCCACCCTCGGTACCCTCAGGGGTAAGTCGAGGTTGGGTAGGCATGGAAGAGCCTTTTACAGTACCTTTTCGTGACCCTGTGGCGCAACCCTTCCAGGTGAAGACTAAAGTTAGGGTGGTGGCGCCCTCCCTGACTTCACAGGCAGCGGCTCAAGTGGCCAATCAGGCCCTGATCCGCAGTGACCCGATCCGGGGCGGTGGGCCGAGGGCGGCCGGCGCGCGACGGGTGAGCCCGGCCCTTCCCAGCTCCCTCCAGTGCGGTTTGTACCCCCCAGAGCCCTGCTCCACTCCTCTCCCTCCTGAACAAGACCCTCGCCTGCGTGCAGGTCCCTTCCCGCCTGCCCCGGGACGCCCCGGAACCCCGACCCGGCCGAAGGATGTTTGGCACCTCGGTCTCACAGGGGGCCCAGGGCGCAGCCAGAGCTGCACTTGGCGGCTACTCCCAAGCCTACGGGACCGTGTGCCACTCGGCGCTGGGCCGCCTGCCGCTGCTCCCCGGACCGCGTGCATGAGCCGCCCACTGGCCTCCTTGCGGCAACCTGGCGCCCTTCCCCAGCCCCCAGTGCATCTCCCTCCTTTGACCCTTTGCATTCGAGTTCCAGGAGGGTTCTCTGAGCCTCTCTCCCCTAAGGGGGAGTAGATGGCGGTTTCCACTCCACCACCACCAGCTTCTTCCAATAAAGCCATATTTTTCCCCAGCCCAACTAAGCCATCTTTCATCCACTTCCATCCGAGGACTCCCTTCCTAGGTCCCAAACCTTTCCCTGAGTGCTCCACGTCTGAATCCTATGCTTAGCACAAAGTGGAGAGCCATGTCTGCTCTCAAAGGTTTCTGCCCACTCAGCCTAGTCCTCCTGGACAGGGTTGTGGATCCACTCCCACCCAGGTGCAGGTTACCAATGACTGCTTAAGAGCCACAAAGAGAAGGGGTTTGCAGCACTTCTCTTGGTCTGAGACTCTTGCTACCTTTTCTTGGTTAGAGCAGCCTATGCTCTAACCACACAGTGACCGACAGGACAGGAAGACACCCTGAAGATCTTGTGGGGGCACTGCTGTGCAAAGGGTTTAGTGTGAGTTCAGACCAGACTTGTGTAGGCAGTCAAAAATTCCACACAGCCTCTGAAACTGGGCTGGAGAACACCGGAAAGCCGTTTTCCTCCACCACCTGGCTAGGGGAGCTGTCTCGGTCTGTTGCCCAAAGTAGGGCAAATGACAAAGGGGACAAGGCATGTGTCAGAGAAGCTGGGCAGAAGTTAGAGCCTTATGTATAGCAATGATACTGGGTGAAATGAGACAGTCAGAAAGCAAAACATAACTGGGTATTGAAGAGGATGGTTATGATTCCAACATGTCGGACGGAGAGCCAGTCAGAACTGGACCTAAAAGGTTTGTTTCCTGAGGTGGCTGACTGCCAATGTGGTCAGTGCATGGTTTCAAGAGTCTGAGGCATAGCTCCAAGTTGTTGAAAAACAGAACAAAGGAATCTGTGAGGGTGAATACCACAAACCAGTGTGCCTGCAAGGCTAAGAACTGGCTATCAGAGAAGGGTTCATACAGGACCAGAGCTGCAAGATAGAGACTGAGAAGTGTCTGCAGGGCTTGAAGACTGCAGACCCAGATAAGTGACTACATGGATGGCCCAAAGAGCTAGGAGTTTGCAGGGATGGGAGAGGTGTTTATACAGGCATGGTGGATTAAGAGTACCCCACAGGGATTCATGGCTTTCTAAAAAGGAAGCTAGAAAGGCCACAGGGTTAAAGGCTGGACAGTTAACCATTTGGGGACATGCTTTTTTTTTTTTTTTTTTTTTTTTCTCTTTGCATAGGATCTCACTGCATAGCCCTGGCTGGTCTGGAGCTTGCTGTTTCAGGCTGCCCCAGCTTACCACTGCCTCCCTAGCACTGGGCTATGTTGGAGTTTGTGCATCGTGTTTACTGTTAATGTGAGAATACAAGACACTGTTTCAGGAAATGTCCTTCTCAGAAAGGTGTGAAGGGTGAAGCCAGAGGTCAGAGGGCCCCAGGAAGGACTGCCAGCCTCCACTTTTTCATTGCAGAGCTCAACAGGTCTGAACTTGAGCAGTGACGCACAGGACACCAGACCATGGACCTTAAGACAAGCTAAGCAGTGAGCATGTCAAGACTAGGAAAGACTCCAGTTCATCTAGTTCTTGGGGTGTGTGTGAATTTGGGATTTTTGACAGTGGGAATCCAGTCACTGCCCAAGTTCCAATGCCCTCCTTTCTCCAGCTGTTAGTCAGAAGAAAATATTTAGTAGCTTTGTTTTCATGTCTTTGCCCTCTTGGGATTTCATATGATGAATTCACACACTCACACATACTCTCACACACAGGTATGAACTATTTGGAAAGAATAGTAGACAGCAGGAACTTATTTCTTAATGCTTAACAGTGTGTGTGTGTGGGCTCTATGTATTTGGTATCATTTCAAATCAAAATTCTTGGAAGAAAAGATAAAAGTAACCAGGGACTTTGGACAGATCTTTTTGTTGGTGACAAATAGGAAAGGACCAAGACTAGTGTGGATTGGGGAAGGGGGGAGGGTCCTGCTGTACCTCAGTGGTGGCTGGGGGTTTAGGCTGTACTGTACCCCATTTTCTGGCTTTTGCTGAGGTCTAAACACTACATACAACCTCCTTCCAGGTTTGGTTTAGGAACTTACTGAAGCTAGGGTCATAGAAAGTCTGTCCAGACTGCTTTATTATAATGCAAAATCCAGTACTCCCCACTTCTGGCTCCTCTTCAAGTGCTACCCAGAGATTTGCTGGAGAAGGCAGAGGTGACTTAAGGCAGCCCCAGTAGGGTTTGGCAACTACTTCCCAGTGGCCTGCCCTGTCTAGCATCCCTGCCTTCCCCACAGCAAGAGGACAGATGCCAAGTGCTAGGAGGCAATGAGGAGAAAGAGTGGAAGCAGTGAAGGCAAGTTCCAGAGTGAGAGAGAGAGATGATCTGAGGTGAGGGGATGGAAGGAAGCTGTCTCCAGAGGGGGACAGTGAATCCAGGAGGCAGTGAGATGCACACCCTGAGAAAAAGCCCTGAGATAAAAAAGGCCCTAAGTGGGAACTGAGGCATAGTGATAAGTCCTTGAAAAATTGTCAAGTAAGGCAGAGATATGGATCCCTGAGGTGAATTAAGCCCCAAAGTGGACCTGAGCCTAGGACATGGTGAAGGAGGTGATGAAGAAAATGCCCTGGGTGGAGGGATTAAGCTCCTAGCAGGGCCAAGCCAAGGGTGAGCAGCAGTGTGGCTGTCAAGCGGAGCTCAGTACAGGTGGTTGTCAGCCAGGTCCCAAACTGCTTTGACACCAGTCTGGCAGCCACCACGCCATCAGTACCAGACGGGTACTGTGCTATGTGGCAGTGATACAGAGTCCTGACCTCCAAGCCAGGAGATTCATTTTTTGGTTTTGAATGTACCCAGAATCTTGGGAACAAATTTGCCCATTTTACTGTCCCTGGTGTCCTCATCTGCCAGGTTGTCTCCTGCCCCAGTACTGCTGGCTTCCTCCTTTTTGCAGAAGACTTCGAAGCGACTATAGACACGCTTCTCTTTACGCATGCTTTCCATGCGGCGCAGGAGCCGGTCACGCTCCTCTGCGCTGGCAGGCAGTGTGCGGCTGAGCCGGCCTTGTGTCCCGAGGCTGTCTGAGCGGAAGATGGCTGAACACTTGTCCTTGTCGGACATGTCTGGAGACAAGTCTCCTGTAGTTGTTGGGCGACCTAGCTCAGGACTGCTGTGAGGAGGGCCTGGAGCAAGGACTCCGCGGTGCTTCTGGCCGTGGGCACTGATTTGTTCCAGAATAGCCTTCGTGTCATCTCGCAGGTTGCTGCTGTATAAGGCATTGGCGGTAGCAGAAGCCAGGCGTACCTTTGGGCTTCTCTCATCTGCAGCAGCCTCTATGCTGTCACCCAGACCCAGCGAGGGCCGTCGGGGACTCTCAGGCTGCCCATTTTCCTGTGGAGCTGGAAGGCTGCCCTCATCCTCCCCACGCCGCTCACTCTTGGGGCTCAGCAACTGCCTGAGGCGGAGAGAGCCCTTTCGCAGGACTTCCATGGGGCCGCCAGTCACCTCTTCTGCAGGCCCAGTCTTCGAAGGCTCCCCAGCAAAAGTGAGACTGCCTCTACGCTCAGGGACAGGGGGTACTGGACTGCTCCTGCGCTCAGGCACTGGGGGCACCGGGCTGCCTCTGCGCTCAGGTAGTGGCACTGGGCTGCCCTTGCGGTCTGGGTAAGCCGAAGTGGGGCTCCCCTTCTGCTCAGTCAATCCTGTGGTTGGGCTGCCCCTCCGATTGGGAAATCCAGATGTGGGGCTCCCCTTGCGCTCAGGGTAAGTTGGGGTGGGGCTCCTTTTTGGCTCAGAATAAGGCAACTGGTGTGTTGTTCCAGGCCCTTCTAGTGGAGGACTATCTCGCCCTTGTGGAGACAAGGAGCGACCCTGGGCGGAGAGGAAGCGTGAAGGCAGGCGGTCTGTACTACCCAGGGTATCGAGCAGCTGCGCGGCGGTCATTGAAGCTGCCCCTGGGTGTCGCTCTGCCTCCTGATGCAACTGCTGCGCGAAAGAGTCACGCAGGTCAAGTAAGCAACTCTCGAGGCTGCGGCGCTCAGTTCCAGCTCCTCCTGGTGTTGCCACCTCCTCCTGCCAGGACTGGGCCACTACAGCTTTGCTGTGGTGGGACACAGTGATGGGACCCCCTGCACCACTAGGGTCCCGGGCAGGGCCCTTGTATTTTTCCAGTAGCTCCGCCACTTTTGCGGAGGCGCTGGAACGAACAGCTTCTCCACTGGGACCCAGAGTTTCATTGACTGCCTGCTCTTTGTGTAGCAGCTGTACTTTTTCTGTGGTGGCTGCCGTGGTGCCACTAGCACCCTCGGCCTGTGAGGCAAAGATAAGTGAAGAGCGCAACCTGGAGCTGCGCTGAATGAGTGGGTTCAAGCGTGAGCGGAAGGAGTCCTGCTTAGCCAGGCTTGTCTCCTCTGTGCCCTCGTGCTCCAAGCTGTCGCCACCACCGCTTCCTGAGCCTGGCTTTGGCCCCTTGGCTGGGAAGGGTGCAGGAGTGCGGAAGGCAGAGGGGAGCAGGTCCCGGCCTCCAGGAGTCAGCACTTCATCATCATAGGATTCAGCTTCCATCGGCAGACCCTCCTCCCCACCATTGCTGTGGCAGCCGCTCAGGTATGAGGCAAGGCGCCAGTGACGTAGTCCGGCCCGTCCCTCGGGTCCACCCCTGCGCTCAGGTTCCACTTCCATAGTGGTGTCCAGGCCTTGCCTCAGTGATGCTTGGCATGAAAAACGCTGGCCCAGGTTGGGATGCAAGGCCCCATTAGGCTCTACACCACGAGGGCCAGTTCCAAAGGGAGGATCTGAGCCGTGACATACCTCTCGAGATGCGCTGGATGGCACATATTCCAGCCGCTGGTGCACATCTCCACCAAGTTCTGGGAAGCGGGGCCTAGCTAAGTCATCTGAGTCCACAAAGCCAGGTCGGCCTGAACGAAGCTTCTCGAAGAGGCCCTGTGGGCGCGTGGGGGCAAACTGTGGGTCCCACTGGTAATGCTGCTGGTAGAGATGGTCACGTTGGAAGTGGCTGGTCTGGAAACGGAAGTCATCACCATGGCTGAGGAATGTCTGTCGCGACACCTGCCGTGCAGCTGCGAAGTTCTCCACTGCTCCTCCTCCATCGGCTGCTGTGTAACTGTGCCGCTTGAAGGCGTCCATCTCTAAGTGGCGTGCTTGGAAGAAGCCCCTGGGGCCTGTGAGCTCTCCCATAGGCCCAGTCTCACCTGGACGCGCCAGTGGCCGGAGGCCTGCATGAGGCTCCAATACACCCCCAGGCATACGCTGCAGCTCTTCACGGCGGAAGGCAGATAGGAAGTGGCGGTCAGGGTCTAGAAAAGAAGGGAAGCCCAAGCCTTCTTCCCGGGGTGGTGGGAATAGGAGGTGTGCCCGTTTAGGGAAAGAAAAGGGTGTTGGTGCTCCAACCCCAGGAACGCCCACCAGGGGCCCAACCCCAGAGTATGGAGCAAGTGCATAGGCATCCATGCGAGCTAGCATCCCAGCTGAGGGCACCAGTGGCTCTGACTGTGCAAACAAGATGCGGAACTCCTCATCAAAGCTCGAGACCAGCTCTCCCTGGAACACATGAGCCAGACTGCGGTGGATTTTCTCGAAGGACCACATGAAGCTGTGGACAGGATAGTGTAAATCAGGGAGAGGAAGTAGGGCCACAAAGGCCAAAAGCATCAGTGGAATGATCAGGGAATTGGGAGTGTAATGGAGTTGGGCTGGCGGGCTTTGACAAGGAGGGCTTTATGGGAAGGAAGTGGGGGAGGGGCCAGGGCTGAGGGAAACCCACTGGACATACCTATAACTCCCGCTCATCACTACAGCACAGTCCACCAGCAAGAACTTCTCCTTCAAATGGCCCTTGAAAGACTTCCCAGTGCGGCAGTAATAGGCAGGCCCTGCCACTGTGCGCACACGCAGAAACTGGAAGAGACGGGAGTCAGGTCTTTACCAAAGGTATTTTCCCTCTATTCCCCTGGCTTTGGTCACTCACATCCACGTGGTGCAGGTTGACACGACACTTATCAGCCATGTCTAGGAAGTGCTGAGCATTCATTTCATCCAGCAGAATGTAGACTGGGACTCGCCTCCCAGCAGCCTCGAGCACTTCACTGAGCAGATCCACGTCAGTGAACATGTCCATCACCACAGCTACTACCTGGGAGGTAGATGGATATCAGGTCAGCAGACAGAGAGGGTCCAGCCATCCTATCTGTTTGTAGCCACACTTTCACCCATAAGCACTGTAAAATAAGCATTCACCTCAGGAGAGAGCAGTCATAAATAGGAGGGCAGTAAAAGGGACCCAGCAGAGGGACACAAATCAGTTGGCAGCTCATAATGGGGTGTTTATTTGGGGTGGGGTGCGGGGAGTAGCTGCAACCTGGCTCTGTGTGTTCACATCCTAGGTTGTTGGGACAGGCATCAGAACCTCAGGCTTGATAAGGAAAGGGGGGAAAGCTAGGTCCTGCCACCTTACCTAATCTTCCTGGGTTTTGTGGTAGTGGGTTTTTTTTTGTTTTGATTTGTTTGTTTTAATACAGGCTGGATGGTTACTATGTAGTCCAGGCTGGCCTCAACCTCCCTGAATGCTAGGATTACATTCATGAGCCAGTCTTCCTGACTTAACAGCCTTTTTTTTTTTTTTTTTTTGCAGTTTGCCAACTGCTTTGAGAGTGGGTTGCTCTCAGCTGGGCAAGGTCTGGAGAGATCAATACGACAGTGGCCCCAAGTTTCTGGGTACTGGCCATTATCCTAGGCAAGCAAATGTAATCAGGTCCCAGATGACAATGGACAAACTCTACAATGTGACCCTCCTGCTGAGATCTGGCTGACCAGTCCTGCCTGGCATCCCCAGCACTAGGAATGCTTTTATTCTTCCCACACTCTCCTAGTCATGCTTCAAGACCCAGCCCAGGCTGTCCTTCACCATCCATCAAGCCCATGCTATTGCACCTGCTGGGCAGAACGGATCATCCTCCGAGCTTCGTCTTTGATGCTGGGGCTTTCAGGTGGCGGTGGTTGTACCAGTGTGGTGACCTCTGTGCCTTGGAAGCCAAAGGTCAGGGGCCAGCCCAGATCCAGTTCAGGCACAGCCTGGTCTGAGTTCACTGGCCAGTAGGTGCCCGAGGAACCATCCATGTCCACATCAGGAGGACTGCCTTCAGGGGGCTCCCGGGACACATATTGTGGGGGCTGCAGGTGGCGGCTCACATGTTCCAACTCCTCAGGGCACAGGAAATCAGGTGCCCCCTCAGATGCCAAGAAGCGGTTGTAGGCTTCTGGCCCACCCTCAGTCAGTGCATCTACTGCCAGTCGGTAGTATTCTTTGTAGTGAGGTGGCAGGTATCCAGGTGCCAGTGGGTTGTCCCCCTGTGAGCTGCTCTGGGAGCGACGGGCCATGTTGGGGCCAGGGGCCTGGAGGGGCAGGAAGATGCATTAACTAGGGGCAGTGGGAACCATTTACCTTAACCTCACAAGTAGACACACATAGCAGATGGAGCTGCTAGATCTTGGGCTTAGCTTATGCCTGGGAGGTCTTCCAGGACCCAACCAAGACAGGCTCAGAAACAGCACTAGAGGCTATAGCATGACCCCTTCCTGGGGCCGAGACCTTGTTCTCATCAGGGTCTCAGGAACTGCTAGTGTTTGCCTCATTCCATACAGGTGAGAGACTCATGTCCTATTTACTTTGTGACCCTCTTTTCCTATAAATTGTTAAGACACAAATGCAGTCCAGTGATGAGATTATTACTCCCCATGACCCCAAGAGATTGGTCTTGTTGGCCCCTTGGCTCTATTGCTGCTGCCTGAAGACTCTGGGCAGTGCTCTGGCCTGTTACCTTCATTGTACACACCTAGGAGGGTGGTGAGACACTGTACCTGGCCCAAGGTGAGCACAGTAGAGTGGAGACTGACTCATCCATGGCTGATGGCCTTAAGCCACACCCACACCTCTTCCCTAGGTCCACACCTTTATCTTCCCACAGCCCCTTTACTGATCTACCTGCCCCAACTCCTAAATGTTTCACCTCTCTAAAAACTTCACACTTTGCTACTGTTCATCTCAGCTAAAACCTCTCTGTGCCTCAGTTACTTGGGGGTCAGCCACTTCCTTTGTAGGGTCTCTATACCATCCCAGACCCACCCATCCTAAGGGTAATAGACATTCCCAAGACCCTGGGTCACCACCCTCTCCCCAATTTGCTGAGAATGAAGGTAAAGCTGAGTTGTCAGCATCCACTACTATGGGTGCCCCAGCACAACCATTCTTGTTCTTCAGTGGCTGGGGAGGGGGGGCAGAGGTAGCAGAAGCTTGTGCTTGAGAAAGGCATTAGAAATAACCAGACACCTAGAAACCTGCACCTCTGGCCCTGGAAGTTGCCTTAGGGCAGTCTTACCCCATTCCCCACTGCTCCTTAGGTTTGGAATGGCTTGGGACTCTTGCCCTGCCTAGCATACCTGTTCCCGGATGTTAGTCTGGACCAAGAAAAGTAATTCTGCCCAGGAAATGGAGTGTCAATGATGTTGTTGTAATGAGGAGACACTTGTCTGATAATACTGGGGGTCAGGCCTCTGCTGTGTGTGACCCAGGGAGCTATAGTGTCTGCCATCCCAGGGGCATGGTGCAACACATTGACAAGTCCAAATGCGACAGAGCTTGGAGGTAGGGACACTCCTATGTCTACTTGCTCTAAGAAAAGTGCACTGCCCTGATTGTAGGCTGTTGGTTTTCCTTCCTGTCTGCAGAGTGAGATGTGGCACACTATTCTGGGGAGATTAAGGCAGACCACCTATACTAAGAATGCTGGCATATCTACTTGGATAGACCCCACGAAGCACCCTACCCAGTCATTGTAGACAGTATGCTCACACCACCTGAGGCACTGTCACTGAGGGGGGAGAGGGGAACTCCTGATATAAGGAAAGTGTCCAGCCTATGGACTTCTGGTGAGGAACCGTCAAAAATACTATTGGTTGGATAGGGGCCCTGGTCCCGATTGCCCATTGTGAGACCTGGACTCACAAAGCAATCACCTCAAATGCCCTTATGCTCTTTCACTGACACACATCCCCCTTGACCTTGTACTTGTAAGTGACCACTCTTATCAGCAATGAACCCCAAGAGTCCACCTGAGGACATCTGCGTATTCAAGTGGGGCCCTGTTTAAGGAAGGCTATCCCACCCAAACCAATGACTCAGCATGAATCATTTGTTGACCTCTGATCTGAAGCCACTCTCCAAGCCCTTCACCATTAACAGCACTAGAAAATGACCATTCCCCTCCTACCTGACAGGAGGTAGTGTTCCCACATATGGGAGGGGAATCCATGGGAAGCAAATAGGGGTGGGGTGGTAGGGGACGTGAAACTGAAAGGTGAGAATACGTGGGATGGAGCTCAAAGACCGGAAGTCGATGAGTTATAGATTGCGGATTAGGCACTAAAAGGCCCAAGGGTGTTACTGTACCCCAGGAAGTAAGCCGCTACCCAGCCAGGTGTCTTTGTCTGCCCATCCAGTCAAGGGATGTGGGATCAGGAGTTAGGAGACCCCAGCTTTCCCTGACCTCCACACAGGTATCCAGCTCTGGACACCCCGGTTCATGGCGGCTTGGGAAGAGGCTCTGGGAAAGGTACAGGACATGCCCAGCTAACATGTAGGCCGCGAGGATGAGAGTGTGTCGTATGCCGCACCCTTTCTTCTGCCTCCTCTTTGCCAGCATGCACCTCGGAAACCCCTTACCCAGTACTCCAGAGAGCAGTCACCCTGTCCCCGACCCAGCCCCACGCACGCGCTCACTGCACCGCCCAGCCCAGGTCCCGAGACCAGACCCAGGTACCGCCGCGCGGAGGCTCCGGCCTCCCGTCCTGCGCGCTGCGCCGTGCCTAGCCCGCGCTGGGGAAGGGACCCTACCTGGCCAGGTGAGCGGGTTCTCGGCAGAGGGGCAGCAGGAGCCCACCGCCGCCCAGCGGCCTCGCGGTCTGCTCCGTCCAGCAACCACTCCCCGCCGCGGCCCGCCCGCCCGTTCGGCCTGATTCACGCGCCCGCCCCCGCCCCGCCCGCGCTCTGCCTCCTGCTTGTCGGGGCAGCACCTGGGCGGGGCGGCCCCACCCCGACGCGCTCGCATTCCTGCGCCCTCCGCAGCCTGGATCCCGGCCGCGACCCCGATTCCCATTCTGGTCTCTCTGGTGCCCCCAGCCCACACCCCCATCCCCGACCCCCGAGCGCTCCGGTGGCGCTCCAGAACTGCGCCACGGATTCTGGACAACACTACTCCGTAGTGCCAGAGCCTCTCCTTTTCAAGACCCGGAAGCCCCTTGAACTTATTTGCGAACCCATAGCTCGAAGCCCCTACTGCCGACCCCTGACCCTCGCCCCGGAAGTTGGGGTGACTCGGAATTTCCGGCGGCTTAGTCGCTAGGAAACTGGCCAGCCCAACGTGAGGGGCGGAGCTTCTGGTTTCTGTTCGTTGCAAGTGGCAGGTGAGGCAGGCGAGGCCGCAGACGCCAGCCCCCGCACCCCGCTTATTCAGGTGACCATCTTACAGCACGCAGACACACCTCTGGTCTCCCCACTTCACTCCCTGCTGGCCCATCCTCTCACATGAAACCGATGGCTTAGGAACTCCATGGGCTTTCACACCCTTATGCCAACCACATTAGGGTCCTGCGCACACAACCCTGTACCAATGGACTCCTCAGGCACAAGGGGACCTCGGATGACCCATAAGCAGAAGCCCCTCCGCCACACAGACTCCACAAACAAAGCTCATTTCATATAGAGGATCATGCCTTGAACCGTCCCAACAGTGGTCCTAACACCCACTGATCGTGTCTTCACGCACATCAACTGAAGGCACAGAGGTCCCATCTTCAAGCATGTACATTAAAGAGCTTGCAACTCAAGATGCTGCAAGTACCAAATCCTCTATAGACAGGGAACCTCATGCATGTATCAACCCACACATCATCCATACACCTAAACACTTAGTTCCTCCTAGATCCCTAGTCTGCCCAGTTTTCCCTCTAACTCACTTCCCTACTTAGGCCCTGACCTGAACTCAGTCCTGTGTCCAAGCCAACTCCCCACTTACCAGTTCTCCTGCCCCAAGTTCTCAATGTCTGCCACCTACCTGAACACTTTCTGTAAGACAGCCTTCAGCATTTTCTGGTCCTATTTCCAGGATAACATTTCATTAACTCTATTTATAAAAGTTCCTGTGGCACCAGCGTGGGGTAGGAACAATAGGTGTATGGAGTCAGCAATTGCATGACCTGGGTTTCCTATTCATTGTGCCATGTGAAGGGTTCTAAGGCACTGGAAGACCCTAACACAGGCTGAAGTGGAAAGAAGACTCTTCCTAAGGGAATGAATGAGGACCAGCCTTGTATACTAGAAGTAAGGGCATTGCTTCCAGAACCAGACAACAGAGTTTTCCAAGGCCAGGGAGAAAGGGGGTTTGAGAGTAGGGAGGGTTGGGCTCAGCAGAACAAGGTTGAGGACAGTTGAAGGCATTCGTACACAGGCTAGCTGTTCAGTTGGTAGGTAGCCCAGTGATTTAAAAACTGGTATCAGAATATAGATCTGTGGGCTCCAGCAGAGTGGGCTGAACCACAATTGTAGAGGACAGGCACATAAGAATAAAGGGAGAGAGACATCTTCTTGCCAGGCTACTGGGCACATACTCAAATAACTAGGGCAGGCACTGGCTGGGAAGTGCGCTGGAGGTTCAGGACCAGGGCAATATGTTCACTGCCTTGTCCTCTACCCTCCTGAACATACCCTTCCTGGACTTTTCCTTCCCACCCCCAGGAGAATGAGCAGTAAGAAGGGGGGCCCCAAAGCTGCACCAGGGAAGAGGCAGGCACCCCTCCCTGGGTCCAAGCTTCGAGCTGCTGCTGGTGAGTGCATCCTCTGACCTCCAGGGCACTGCCCCATCATTGACCTTGAGACCACTAAGTACATAGGGCTCCTCTGAGAAACCCTTCTCTCCAAGTAGTCTCAAGGGCTTTTCATTTGTGCTTGGGCTCAGACATCCACTGTACCTGGACCTTCAAAGCTGGGGCGGGGAGTGGGCAAATGACTCAGAAAGGCACAATGTTAGAGCCCTGCTGCAAGAGTGCCCACCCAGACCTAGATGCAGCCCTGCATCTGAAACCAGGCAGTGCCAGATTCCTTGGAGCTGGCAGGTGATGGTGACTCCACACAATGCTGGGGTGAAGTCTTAGTTGCCCAAATTAGCCCCAGCTGCGTCTGAGGCCAGTCTTCCTTCTGGAATGAGGATAATGGGCACCAGCACTGCGTGCTGCCTCTGTGATCTCAAGTCCTGAGCACCAAGCTGCAGTAAATAGTGGGCAGCTCAGGTGAACTGGACAAGAAGCTGTCCAGGATACTTGGGGAGGGGATATTCCTCAGTATTTTTGTCTGTCAACTGTGCACCCAGCCCTCACCCCTCACCTTGCTGCCCTGGACAGCTCCTCTACCTACTTGTCCTGGTCCCCTGACACCACCATCCACAAACAAGCTCCCTCCCTCAATGGCCTCTGCCTGCCAAGCACTGTGTGGTCTGGGCAGGCTTGCTGTCCTTTGTCTGGGCAACATTCTGTATAGTGGGCACAAGCCCCTCCAGTCATACAGGTCCACAGAGGTTCTGCAGCAAACTTGGCCTCCCAGCCTTCACACATCTATAAGATGCTTGAGTGTCAATTGTACCATCAGACTGCCCAAGCCCCTGCCCATAGCCCTCCAGGCCTTACCTGGCCTTGGGTTTGCAGTGCCTCGAGGCTCCCACTCCGGAGCTGCTCCAGGGCCACAGCCAGCTGCAGCCCCTCCATGTGCACCCAGGCCTGCTCCTCCTGCAGCTGCTGCAGCCACAGCTGCTCCTCCTGCAGCTGCTGCAGCCACAGCTGCTCCTCCTGCCAGAGCTGCATCTGCAGCTGGACCTGCCGCCTCCGATCCTCCAAAAGCAGTTGCTCCTGGGCTAGGCACAGCTGGACTTCATGGAGTCTCAACAATTCAGGGCCCAGGGCTGGCATGGGGGCCCCCTCCATGTGTTCAGGGGCCAGCACCAGCTTGGATTCCACAACAGTGGCCTGAACTGGCCTCCAGGCTGCCTGTAGATGCTCTGGTCTGGTGGCCTTAGAGTGTCCCTGAGGAGCTGGCTGAGTGCTGGTCACATGGCCCGTTAGGGCCACCCCCACCTGGTCCTGAGGGCCCCCTGTGTTGGGGGGCGGGGGCTCAGCCTCAGGGCGCTGCTGCCCAGTTGCCCGCTGGGCCCTGCCCACCCTCTTGCCTCGGGGCTTTCGAGCTCGACCTCGTTTCCCAGACATGGCCCTGGATCCAGTACTTCCTTCACCAGATGTCTGCTGCCTGGGGTCCTGGCTCATCCACTGGCCTTCTTGGGGAGCTCAGAGGGCATCCCAGAGGCCATAGTATGCTGCTTGCTCTCAGCCAGGCTCTGCTCTCTGTTCCTCTGTCCCAGGTGGCTGTGCTACCCCTTGCCCTGCTGTCCTCAGCACAGCACAAGGCCCTGGCTCTGCCTATAGGCCCCACAGGCCCCACTCTGTGGCACTGGGCCACACCAGGGAGTTTATAGGGACTTTGGCGGCACAGTGGCTCACCCTAACCAAGGAGGCTGACTAACATGCTGACACAGGGTGCGGGACTTTACAGACCACAGACTTCACCTGCCAGACTGGGAGGGAGACTAAGAAACTGGGGGCGGCTCTCAGTAGCTAGACTGATGCTTGATGACATGCCTGGTCCTGCCTGAACGTCACCAAGCCCCCTCCCCCTCGGTGGCAGGAAACTCAAACTGTCTGAAGAGCTAAGAGCTGCATTTCAAATGCACCAGCCCTGAATGCTCAGAACCTCACTGACCATAGACCATTCCAACCCATCTGGCCACTGGATCCCCAAGCCTATCCAGATAATCTCTGCTGAGCTTGAGTTTGCCTGGGGAACTTGCCAGAGATGAAAGGCCACCATAGCCCCAGTGTGAAGCACTTGGGCCACACTGTGGGCTGGTAGACACTGAACTTCAAAAGCCTAGAAAGAAGAGTCTAGCTTTTCTCCTAGTATGGGTCTGGGACCTGACTACTGCTGTGATTGGGAGTCCAGCTCCCCCTTTGAATTAAAACAAGGCCCAAAGGACCCTTCCAAGCCCCACCTGTTAGTCCCAGGGGTGCAGCTGAGGGTCCATCTGAGCCTTCCTTCTCAGGCCTCCTGTTTTGAGGCGTCACTCCAGGTGACATCCTTCCCAGTGGTTTCCCTCAGCCCCAGCCCGCTGACTCACACCCCTGCCCAGGGCCTCATCCCAGCCAGCTCTGCTTCACTGGCCAGACTGGTTTGCCTGGCCCAACCCTGCCCAGCACATAGCCCCATCCATCCTGCCCTTGCCCAGGAATCTCAAGAGCAGACAGAGAGCCCCAGTCTGGAGCAGGGCTGGACAGAGCAGAGCTTGGATGAAGGGTGTGGAGAATGGCAGAGGGATTGTTTGGGTGGGAGACAATGGTCAGGACAATGAGGGGTACACTTTTTAGGGGCTTCCACATGCCCAGGCCTGGGATTCTAGCTCCAGGTACAGGGATAGGTGTGTCTGTTGGTTATTAATATTACCAGGCTAAGATGTATTTGCTCTTGGAAGACGCTGCTCATTAAAGTTGTGGTATGTGCTGGCCTCGTGAGACCTTCCCTAATAGCCTAAGAATAAGCCTAGCTGGTGTCCCATAAATGCCACCTGAAGTTGATGGGGTGAGGGACAACTCACATCCTAATACTTCTGCTACCTTCCTTCAGGGAAGCCAAGAGAGAATCTCCAGCTGCAGACAAAGACAGGCCAGCCAGCCAGAGGGTCCTACTCTGAGAACCCCAAGGTCCCTGCAGGTGAGATCCTGGATGTCCTATCTCTGCTAAGGGGTCAGCTGGCAGTAAGAGACTTCCCTGGGTCCAGACATGCACAGTATGCACAAGTGTGTGTGTCTACAAATGTGTGTGTATATGCATGAATGTGCAGGGGGCATGTATGCATGTGTGTGTGTGTGTGCATGTAGTCTGTGCAGTAGGCCAGAAGCACACAGAAGTCCATGGCTCCAGTCTGCCTCCCAAAGGAGCATGAGTCTCCTGTGCTGAGTTGGTCGCCCTCTAGCGGTAGTAAAATGATCCAGCTATAGGCAGCACTTGGGGAGTCCCACCATGAGTCTGGAGTCATGTGCCTGCTTCCTGGGCTCAAGTGCCTATGGACAGGACTGGATCTGTCCCGCCTGCTTGCCTCCTGGCTCTGGCCTCAGCTCTGCACGATAATCCTAAAGTTCCCAACCTAACAATTAGGTTAAGATCTCACCGCCAGTGCTTCAACCTTGTAACTCCCCTTTGGTTGTCTTTTTTTTTTTTTTGGTTTTTCGAGACAGGGTTCCCTGTATTATTTTGGAGTCTGATACATTGGCATGGGTTCTGTATAGCTCAGAGTCAAACAGTCCTGAGACTCGAACAGAGACAGATGTGTGGAGACATAGTCCCCAGAAGACGCTCAGACCACACAGGAAGCCACATAAGAGGAATTGGCATCCTTCAGAAGGACCAGTGCTGTTTCTCATACTGTAGCACCATTTGCGTTATTGAAAGACCCACAGGGGGACACCCCAAACCACTCAGGAGAAGTGGTCTTGATGTAAAAGCATGAGGTCTTTTATATTCCAAGTGCACTGGGGTCCACAGTCATATGCCACACAGGGGTAGAGGACTGAGGACCCTGAGTACAGAATTGAGACAGCTTTTATAGGGTTACAGCAAAGCCACACATCATAAACCAATCATCTCATAGCATCCAGAGCCTGCATGGTTCAGGCCAATCAATTTAAACCATCCAAGCCTGCTGCTTTGTAGACCAATCAGTTTCCTATAGCCCTGGAGGTCTGCATTTGCGTGGGCTCCTAGGTGGGGTGACAAATGGCAGTTAGGTTGTCACTGGGGCAGGGTGGGTGGTGGTGGTTCACCAGCAGTTTACAAAGTCAGATAAGCAGCCAGGAGTGTGACCTTTCACCTATTTACTGGCTGAGGACAGGGTCTGGAATTTAAGGTTTAAGCTTCTAGCTTCCTGGGGTCATTGGAGAGTTAGGCTGTATTTTTCCATCCTTACATTCCCCACTTCTTCATTTGTTAATAGTTCTAATCTTAGAACTGGGAGGACTAAATGGCAGCCTCCTCTTGGCTCGGAAGGCTCTTGTACTGTTGTCTAAGTACCATAATCTCGTACTCACTCGTTTCCTAACAAAAATAACAGTAAAGCAACAAGCAAGGATAAAAATGAGCAGTTGTAAGAGGCTGTCCCTGGGTCCTATAACCTCAAGTGGTGTGGGGCTGGGTCCAGGGGAAGAGGACATATTCTGGACCGGCCCCAAAGTGGGCCTTTTCACAGAATCTCAAGGTTTCCTGTGTGGTGACATCTAATGTAGACTGAATCTCCAACTTGGAAGCAATGTGGAGCTTCCAAGTCTCCTTCCATTGAGTCGACCTCCCAGAGCTGCTTCCACACTCACTGTCTTACCCACTTGAGCACCTTGAGCCTAGCGAACAGAGGCTGGGAGAATAGCACATCAGCACTATGTACAGAGGCAATTTCCACCAGTGGAGGGGGCCCATTAGAGCCATTTATAGGGGGTCAGCCCAAATAGTCCAACCCTGAAAATCACAAAAGGTAGGAGAGCTATCTGATCATTAACACCAGTCTCCGTGGTCAATTTAGTGAAGGTCTCTTTAATGGTTTTATTTATCCTTTTTACCTGAGCTTTGGGATCTGTATGCACAATGTAATTTCAATCCATCCCCAGTGTCTTGGCCAGTCCCTGACTTACCTGGGCAACAAAAACTGGACCATTGTCTGATCTTAGTACCTTAGGTATTTTAAATCTTTGGAAATTTTTCTTCAGTAATTTTTTAGCCATCACTGTTGAGGCAGCCCCCTTTGTTTATAGATAGCCCTGTGCACATGTGCAGTTGCAAAAGCATACCTGCTGCCCGTGTAATATTTATGGATTTTTCTTCAGCTAGCCGCAAGGCTTGAGTAAGGACCATGAGCACAGCTTTTTGTGCTGAGGTTCCTTCCAGCAGGCTGCTGGCCCAAACCATGCAGATTCTGTCCACCACCGCTGCCCCAACCCATCCTTTACCTTTTACCACACAACTGCTCCCATCAGTGAACCAGGTCAGCACCTCCCCAGCCAGCGGATTGTCTGTAAGATCTTTGCGAACCCCAGTCTCTTCTACTAACAGTTGATGGCAGTCGTGAGTCACTGGTTCATCAGTCTCCTCAGGCAGAAGAGTGGCAGGATGAGGGTGGCTGGTGGAGTGAACACAATCCTCTTAGTGAGAAGCGGGCTTTGGTAGTGAGTCATGTGGGCGTTGGTCATCCTTCGGTCTGGGGACTGCTGGACAATGCTCTCCAATGCATAGGGGGCTATTATAGTCACTTTTTGCCCCAAACTCAACTTGTCAGCATCTTTGACCAGTACAGCCATGGCCGTAATAGCTTTTAGACAGCCAGGCCATCCCCTGGCTACAGGATCAAGCTTCTTTGACAGATAAGAAACAGGTCTTTTCCATGGCCCTAGGGATTGGGTCAAAACTCCCTGGGCGACCCCTTACGCTCGTCCACATAGAGGGTAAAAGGTTTAGTTACACCAGAGAGGGCTAGAGCAGGTGCGCTCAGCAGGGCCTTTTTAATGGCATCAAATGCCTCCTGAGGTCCAGGAGATATTTTCTTTTTAGGTCAGCAGGTAGAGTGGAGCTGTTAAGGTCGCAAACCCTGGGATTCATAGCCTGCAAAACCCAGATGTCACCAGAAATTCTCTTACTTGCCTGGCCATGGTTAGGGCTGGTATCTGGACTACAGTTCTTTTCTGAGCCTCGGTCAGCCACTATTGCCCATCCAGTAGACTGTATCCCAGGTACTTTACCTCTCTTCTGCAAATCTGGGCCTTTTGGGCTGAGGTTCAATAGCCTAGGTCAGACAATTCCAGCAGCAGTGCTTTTATTCCTTCCAAGCAGTCCTGTTGGGTGGCTCTCGCTAGATGTAGGTAATCCACATACTGGAGGAAGGTCGCTGGAGGGTGTTGGATCCTGGAGCTGGCCAGATCTTTATGAAGGGCCTCATCAAAGATGATCAGGGAATTTTAAACCCTTGGGGTAGCCAGGTCCAGGTGAGCTGCCCAGTTCTTCAGGGGTCCCTCCATTCAAAGGCAAAAAGCTGTTGGCTGGTAGAACGTAACCTCGAACAAGTGGGATACCTGGTCCACGCCAAGGTTCACTGTTCTTTAGATAGTCCATGAATACTGCCGTTGCCCTGTGGCACCCATTACCCAAGATTTTTTTGTCTTTTAATTTTTTAAATGACTATATCAGCACAGAATGCTCTGCTCTGGTATCCACCAAAATTTTAACTGGTTGCCCCTACATTTTTAAAGTTACCTTGGGTTCAGGGAGGGGGTCCAAACCCTGTCTCCCTTTATCTTTATCTTTCCCCAGGGCTAGGACCTTCGATCCCTTGTTTGTCTTCTTGGGGCAGTCCTTTGCCCAGTGTCCTTTCTCTTTATAATATGTACATTGGTCCTTGTCGAGTGGGGTCCTGTTGCCCAGGTTCTGTTTTAAATTTTCTAACTTCTCTCTCTCTACTATCTTTCCCTTCAAGCACCGCAACCAAGATTTTAGTCAAATTCCTTTTCTCT